TTTTATTATACCTTTCCCCCAATAAAAATCCCAAGAACACATCAGTATAAGTGTATTTATACACAATGTATAAACTAGGAACCAATACACTTTTAGTTACTAATTAAGAGTAAGTACTATAGAAATTATTTAATAACTTGTTAATAATAAGTAATAAGCATAGTACTACACATATATTATCAAATTATTGCAATTAACAGTACAGTGGAATATTGTAAAATAATTATGTGTCAAGTGGACATATATTTCCTTGTCTTATATGCTTCATTTACTGTCCCAAATTGACATTTTAATAAATTATTATAAAAATGACAGAAAATTAAAACAAATAATCATGTACCCTGGAGTAACTCGGAAACAAAATATGGGAAATTAATTATTGAAACTTTGTTCTAATAAATCAAAATATAACTAAATATAATATATAAACCCATATAATTTAAATTATATTTGATTACACTCAATTTAAAACTATTGATTTAGATGAAATATGTACTAATAACAGTAATTTTGATAAAAATAAATCTACATGAAAAAGTACAAACACCTACAGACTTCAAACTTTAACCCTTAATTAATATTAATTTTTTGATATTTGGAAATGAAAATGAAAAAATATCTTCATGAGTAATTGATAGAATATTTTATGCAATAATTATAAAAGTGTTATTAATTACTTTAATTGTATTTGTTGTGGATATTGTATTAACATTGGTAACACTGGCTATTGGCATTCCTGATTTTGAATGTCCATCAGGTATATGGAACAATACTAAAGGAGTATCTTTCCCGGTATGAAGGCTACAATGAATATTTTATTATATTATAACAATATATTTTTAACCTTTAAATATTTATTAGCATTTACCTATATGGTTGGTACGGTGAATCACATATAAAGAATCCTCTACGTTGTAATTGAATAACTTCACTTTTTTTAATATCTTTTAGTTCAAAATCACCCCACATTTGCAATTCACAACGACTATCTTTTGTTATAAATTGTTTGAAATCATCATCCTTTGCTAATACTGGTTTATTGATCAGATGCTCAAAATACACACACACAACTGGTATCAGACTTGGTAAAATATCATTTGAATCTACTGAACTAATATTTGGCAACCATGTAATTTTAACAGTTGACTTAAAATCTGTGTTTTCTAAATCAGTTAGTGCATACACCTTTTCTATTTTATTACTATCAGGGTTCCTATAAACATACAAAATACAATTATTTATTGTAACAGTTCCCTTTTCATGGGTGTATATCAAATATCAATGCCTGCTACCAAAATAATAATTGTAATAAAAAAATTACCTTTCAATTCGGTTAATTAAAATGTTTCCCCAATTAATTAATGTAGCTCGTTTACCAACTTCTAGTAACTCAGCATCATTATAATCAATAAGAATTTTGGGTGCACCCCAGACACAATCCTTAAGCCCTAGTTGAGGATTTTTCGGATGCTTTGGTACATTGTTTAGTTTGTATGGTTTTTCAACATTTTCCAACAAAACTTCAACTGGATGGTGAGAAAATATTACATTTTCATTAGTTGAATTGGCTCTTAATAATGCTGTATGCCTGGGTGCTACAGGATCTATTATGCTTCGATTTAATGACCAAATTTTATCCCACTGCATAGCTGTAACAGTTCTAGAAGATCCTTGGGAAATTATAAATTGTTTTAATGCTTCCAACTGCATGCCTCTTCTAAACACACCACGGACAGTAGGCATACGAGGATCATCCCTTAAAAAATGATTAAGTATTATGATAATGGTAAATCATTACAGAATAGAGAACCTAATAGGTAATGTATAATTATGTTAATTAAAGCACAATAACGGCAAAAAACATGGTAATGTTTAGTCACTTATTGAAGTTTTATTAATATACCACTAAAATGTGTGTTTAGCAGATTAAAACTCTAAAGAAGGTGTCACCATCAGGTTCCAGTGCTGGGAAAGTTCCTTTTAAGAAGGAATTTGTTCCAGTTTCTCATTCCTACTCCAAATAAGGTACTAGTTCCAATTTCTCATTCGTAAAAGGAACTTGTACTTGTTCCTAATTCTTTAAAAAGGAACTCTGGTGCAGCTACTGTTCTAGGTGAGAAGTTGGGAAGGTAGGATAACTAAAATTGGAAACTATTCTTATTTCTTAGAATCTACATGTTTAAAATCCTAATAAATAAAATAAATTTCCTAACTCCTACTTTAAAAATAAAAAAAACATAATGCTGGAAACATTAATGAAAATTACTTGTAAATTAGACATTTGTCATTATCAAATAAGTTATATTGTTTTTTACCATTTTAAATCACCGAAATACCATTTATGTCACAGTTAAACATAACTTAATTAGTAACTGATGAGGTGATACCAACACTAAACAATTTCTAAATAATATTATCACTAAAATAATGCGAGTTTCATTTTTTTTCCTAATAGAAGAAATGAAAATTTGTGGTCATGTTCCATATAAATAGAAACTCTTTCCCATTATTTAATCCTATATTTGAAAGGAGACCAACACTGGTTAAATCTATCAATATAAAAATTAATCACAATAACATGATTCAATCTCATATTATTATCATCAATTTTAGAAATAAATAACAATGAAAAATGAAATTGAAAACAAATGGTTATGCACGTTGTGGGAAATTTGGTAGATATTTCTTATTGACTTATATGCATATCACAAATTGTATATGAATTGATCTGTCTTGAATAATTAAATATACATAACTACTAGTTAATCCTCTCAATAGTTCCTGTGCCAAAAAAATGTGTAATAAAAACTTTTTCCTCCTATTCCAACTTCAATCTCCGTCATTATCACTGCAGTTAAGCATTGTTGCAATTACATTTTTAACAACACATTTTCTTTTCAAACTTATATGAATTAGTTATATGATTGCTAAACAATTAAAAAAAAACAATTCAATTATTTTTTTTTAGCCCAAAATACTGAAGGTTAGGTTAACTACTTCAACTACTAGATAGAAGATTTCAATAGCTTTACATTTTTCTAGACAATTGTAAAAATTCTACAAAAGCAGCATATAAATTAGTCCAGTAGTTTCTGAAATTGTCCCGTAGAAAAAAAAAATACTTCAAATATATGCATACAGAATATAGATGTATAAAGTATATTAGAATTAGAAAAAATGTATTTATACTAACATAATATGATTGAATTTTTAATAAAATACCTATTTTATCTATGTGTAATTTGTATGCAACATACATTTTCATTAATTTATTGACAATCTTTTTTTTTCCTTTCTTTTTTTGATGCAATCTAGAAAAACTCAGAGGTGGATCACAAGTCTATTAAACTGCCCACTGGGCTTTAGAGAACTTAACTAAATATAAATGTCTAGTTTTAAACTGTTATAAATAATATTTATATTTATTAGATTTATATTCAAATTTTATAGAAATGTATAAGTTTAATATATTTTACTAACCATCCATCAACAAGCCCTTGTTCAACAAACCAAGTGAGCTTTCTTTTTGATAGAACAGTGTTAGTCATATTTAATCTTGAATATGACCACACATAAGGTCTGGTTTCATTATCCCGTTGTCCAAGTTTTAATGCATCACAAAACCAATAATACTGCTGATCACGATCTGTATATTCTGTTGTACGTAAACAATGTGTAATCCCTTCAAGGCTATCCACAATTGGACAAGCAAAATCATAGGTTGGGTATACTCTGGAAGACATTTTTTTTTTTAAACCAAATTAATACATTCAATATTAAATAAAAATATTAAATACCTATTTGTCATATTTTTTCTAGTATGTTTTAGTAGAAATTACTAATGAGAATAATTTACACCATTATTTTAATGTTACAAATTGATATGTTACCTAAATTTTCATAAAATGACAAATAAGTATATGAACTATTTACAAGAAAGGAACATTGAGTGTGATTTAGAATAATGATGATAAAGGGAAGGACAAATTAATGACAGTTTTTAGTGAGAGTTGACAATATGAGAAAAACAATTGTTTTAGGTCTAGAGAAAGTAAAGATAATACAAAGAGATTGATAACAATGTCAATTTTTTTTTAAATTTTAATTTGTAAGTTAGGTATAAATATAATACACTCAGAAATTACTATTAAATAACAAGAATGTCAAACTAGTGATAAGGTGCTTGCAGATAAAGGAATAATTCTAATATATTTATAATCTATAAATATTACTGCATTTAAAATATCAGTTATCAGTCCCTATTGGGTAGTTTACCATCAGATAAAGTATCTTTATTTGTATTGATACATCAAAATTATGTCAGATAATAAAATAAAGTAATTTAAAATTTCTAGTGAAACTCTGTTGATCTTCTTTAATATAAAGGATGTAATTATGGTGATTGATTAAATGAGTACCCCAGGGACAAATTATTTATCAAGATTATTAGTTAGAAGTCATTTAAAAGTTGTATTATTTAATATACACCTTGTTTATTAGAATGGACTGTGAGAAGGGAGGGGTTTATATTTATAATTTATTTGTAAAGGTGTAATAATACCACAAAATCTTATTTCATGAAAAAAAATGCCCTGTTTGAGAGTAAAAATTGTGTGAATAATGAAATTTGTAAGCATTTTATTATTTTTATAATTATAATTACTGTTGAACAAAAAAATCATATGAATGAAGAACAAATAAATCCTATAGTTGATAAGGAAAAAAATAATATTCCCAGTTATCAGCCATGAAACACAAATTTACATTATATTGATAAAGCCATAAAACTATTAGTTGAAAATTACTTGATCCGAACTATTATTTTTTTCTATGTAAAATTAGATTTGATGATATTATACAACTGTATCCATTAAATATAAAGATACACCTACGAAAAAAACGCCCACACTTGTGTATATGAACTGGGTACAATGTACTTTTTTTCAATTATTATTTAATTATTTATTAACTTGTATTTATCGGCTGTTCTGGGATGTAGCTCAGGCTNTTTGACCAACCACTGAACCTAATTTCATTTGATTCCATAGTTCAAGATTTTTTTCAATTGCTGAAACACAAATGAAAAATTGTTTTAGTTAGTTAAAAATGTTTTATTTATATCTTATAAAATAATAATCGTTTTCTTTTCTATGAAAAATTAATATATGAATTTAATGCACTTACAATTATTGCGATTAATAGATTCAATTCGTTGTTCACGCTCCAAACGCATTTTTTCTCCATCTGTATCATCTATAAAAGCATGCCCTGCTTTTAATAAACTTTCACACATAAGTAACATGGCATCAAAATAATCTGAAGTATATGTAAAATTGTCTGGTTTAATTTTTAACATATCAACATCTTCTAGTATGACCTAGAACAATAAATACAAATTCAAAACAAAACGTGTATTAATTTACATATTGGTGTTATGATCTAAAATATTATTTTCATAATACTATTACAATAGAAACTTAATATTTCATACATAATGTAAACATGAAATAAATAATTTTACCTTTTCAAAATCTTCTTTTTCTTTTGCAGGATTGGTATCATCAAAACGCATTACTAGTCTACCATTAAAAGCCAGTTGATAATGTTGGTTTAAAAGGGCTGCCTTGGCGTGGCCAATATGTAAATATCTAAAACATACAATTATAAAAATTATTAACTATGTATAACAATTGAACCAGTAGCGGCTAGTATGTAAAATAATTGATAGTGCACATTTAAAAAATTGTATAAGTTGAATAAGTACAGTCAATTCAGAAAACAAGAACTAAAACAAATATTTTATTGAAATATGAATATATTTGTTTTATATATGAGATTCATAGATAGAAATTTACAATATATTAAATAGTTATGTTTTTTTTTGTCATATTAAATAATATTATTTATGAATTTATTATTCAAAAGAAATAATCAGTTCTTAATGCATGATATTCTCAATAAACAGTGGCAGACAGTTATACAGCCACCACACACTAACACACCACTAAGTCTAATAGTAGTTGTGTCAGTAGTAGGAATGAGAAGGTCAAATGCGCATATGCAACTGGTGTACAAAATGTATTTGCCCATCCATATTCTGTGATCGCTGCATACTGTGTATAATGAGCATATGTGCGATAACATTAGTTTTTCTTGAATTTTCAAACTAATTATTCTTATCTCTACAATAAATATGAATGCATTTCTAGTTTATAATCTATATATTTTATAATAATAAATAATATAATTTTATATTGTAGTAACATACAAATGTATAGTTTTCAAAATTTTAGGTGCCTGTGCACTATTCCACGAGCCGTCACTGAATTAAACTATTTTTAATGTAAATAGGTACGCATGCATACATATATAATCAATAATTATGCAAAAAATATACTAACCCGCTGGCTTCTGGGGGAAACCTAACAACAACCTTGCCCATTTCAGCTCCTGGTAGTTCCACAAATTTCCCTTGTTCTTTACCTACCAGTCTTGGTTTTTTTACGCTTACTCGGTTCTCCAGTTCGGATGTATTCTGTATTTTACTCATTTTGCCGATAACGAATAGTCTAAAAAGACCGTAATGTCTGAAACTATTAAACTGTGTACGTCTGCAAATTAACGAAAGTAAAAGGTGAAAGAGTGAACGCGTAATCCCAACGTGTCAATAAGGAAAACGTGGTATAAAATACTCAAAAAAGTACAACTCTACTTACTATGGAGTGTTATCATGTAAACATTAATTGATAAATCAGGGTTTCGTAAATCATCACATTTTATTCCATAGTATACTTGTTCCGTAATATTTTTGTTACAAGAAATATTTTTTCCAGTGCATATTTGTTTAAAAAAATAGTTTTTAATGATAACATATCATCCCGTGTGTTCTTAAATTTAAGTTGTAAGAATAAGATTTATTACAGTTAATGTGATAGGAAAATAAAGTTATGTTATTTCCATGGTTATTATGAAGGAACGGGTGATAAGCAGTCGTCCGAAAATGATAAGAATTCTATATAAAATTATAAAATATCATTAAGGTGGCCGCAGCCCACATAATAACATACCGAATATGAAATAAAATCCTATCCAAAGCTTTTTGCATAAAAAGTTGACGTTCATTTTGGTTTAATTAAAATCGACGTAATTTTAATATTACTACTACAGTTTAAAATATAAATGTTGAACACGATATAAATACATTTACTTCATAACGCTTAATTAGTACCACGGCTAAAGATAATAATATATTATCTTAATATTATAGAATATTAAATATATTATCCATAGCCGTGATACCTATTAAAGATGGCCTGCAGCAGACTACCAAGGCTATAGATACTATGTTAAGCAACGATCTTCGAAAAAATGGGGTCACCTTGTTCTTATCAATAATAGGTTTTCATATAATTTGATAACAAACATTACGTGCCGCTTTACCCTGCATCACACGTCATGCGACCATAGTATCTATAAACATGTTATCTACTTAAGCAGTAGATCTGGAACCAACCACTTAGTTGTTATCAGTATTCCACACCATGATCCAATATCATCCAACGATAAACCACCATTGATAATATGTACATATATACATACATTAATGTATATATGTATGTATAATCCATGTAAACTTACTTTATTATTATAATATTATCATATTAATACATTTATCAATTTTCATATTGAATTTTGTTTTCATTTAACGTTTCTGATTTTTTTAATTCACCATAAAACATGAATAGTATTTTATTACATGGTTTAAATAATTTGGATAATGTTAATAATTCTTTGAATACAAAACAAAATGTTCTTATTCATAGTTTATTAAAAAGTTCTGATGTCTGTATAACAAATTGTACGCTGGTCATTCGTTTGTATACTGATTTAAAAGTAAATTGAGGTAGGTAAGTAAATTATTTATAATAATCTATATAATATATTATTATTTTCAATATACCTAACCTCTAGTTTTCGATGTGCAAAATGAAACTTTGTTATAATCAACATACCACTAATGAAAAAAGGCCTGTAATTTATTTTAAAAAGCAGCCTTAATGATAACATGGTATTTCAGTAACTCTGACATTGTGGTATTTTTTTTTTTTTTAAAACTACTTAATAATTATAATTTTTCACACTCTCTTTTAAGGTTGGTGATAGTTTTGGTGTGAATAAAGGTTATTATTATTGAACAATGCATAAGTATTTTTGATTTCTTTCAAATCTTGATGATTAAATCTATACATTTTTTATCAGAAAAATAATAATTTTTCAATAGGAAATTATGTTCAATACATGTAGTAATTTATCAAGCTTTTGGGTAGTTATTGAGTCATTTTCATAGGTTAGTAATTAATTATAGTATCATAAATATCAATTTACTTTCCATCCTCTTTCATGTTAAATAATGTTTTATCCCAGGTCACTGGAAGCTAAACCAATTAAAATAATGGGCGCTTATATACTATAAAATCTAATTTTAAAAAACAATTATCTGATGGAAATTAATATTGATCACCACAATTTAAATAGTTCAACTGTAGAAAATGAAACCAATCAAGAGCTCTGTATCTCAGTAGTGATTAATCAAACAAATTGAGTAATAAAAGAAATATGTCTACTTCAAGGTATTTGTTAACAAATTAAAATTAGGTTAAAAAAATGATAGCACTTCAAATTATTACTTACAGAATTGTCTTTCATCAGCAATAATTTATTGTTGCTTACAGATATAAATGAAATAACCTTATGTTTCTTACCTTCCTAACTTTTCACCTACATTTGTGGTCGCAGCCATCTCTAATACAGCTCTTTTTTTTAAATATATATGAAAATAATTATCTGATTTCTTAAATGTATTTTAAATTACTATCAAGATACTTGTTTCTGTATCTTGATAACTTTTTTAAGTGGAGTATCTATATCTGTATCTAGATACTAATTTAAAGTATCTTATTATAGCACTGAAAGTAGGTAGTGTTTTTACATCCAAAAATAAGGGCAACAAAAAAAATAACATTAATATAAAATTGTAGAGCTGTTTGTTTCTTAAATGTTCTATAAAACAAAGTCTGAAAAAAGATAATATTGTCCAATATAATGAGTGTCTCGCAATAGATTGATCATTCTGTAAATAATAGGTGGGTATATTGACAGAATACTATTATAAATGGCACCATGATAGACCATGAATAACATAGTACTATGCAATAAATAATAAAAATATTTACTGATGTATTAGGCTAAAATTACAGTATTAGATAATATAGGTTATTAAAAAAAATATTTTTTGAGTTATTTACATTATTTTAAATTTTTAACTTGCAAATGTTCTATAGAACAATAAGAAATTATTGCGTTTCTCTTTACATATTTTTGGGGGCTTAGCCTTTCCCTAAATACACCTATGTTTGAAAACCTGTATAAATCAATGTGGTTGTGTGTTCATTAAAATGTACCAGTATCAAATCCATCAATGAACACAAGAGCATCTTTTGGAATCTGAATGAAAAAATCTCTATTATACAGAAGTATATTTTAAAAATGATTATATTTTAAATCATCAGAGGTTTTCCTAATTCCTGACAGTAAAAGAATTTTCTATTTAATGTGTCAAAAATATTATTTAAAATGTTCCATGTCTTGGGTTTTTTTGTAATATTCTGGTACCTTTACATAACCTCTACAGAGTTACCTGAAAATCTAAGTATAAAAGTTAAAATGAAAACTGAATAACTATTATAACAATAATTAAATAAATAGTTTATTTAATATTACAATATAAAAACATATTTATTAATTTATCATTTAGTTATTACATTTTAAAATTTTATTTTCATAATTATATATTTGTTTAATCTTTATATTATAATAGATCATTTTGTATAGTGTTATGAATTACGCAAAATTATGAGATCATGTATATATAACAGGCAGAAATCTGACCCTTTGAAATAACTATTGTTGTGTACAATAGTTTTAAGTTTTTTTTTCTTGTATTAGAGTCTTGCACTATGATTCATATATTTTATAAGTTTCTAAAATTGTTTTAAGTTTACAAAAATCATTAACAAATTTGTGAATCAATAGTTTATTTAGTAATGGCAATTAAAAATATTTAAACATTAGAAAACTTTAAAACATTTTTGATAATTAATAATTCATTGTTATTAAATATATGTAACTCCAAAATTTTATTTCAAAATGTATTTATATATTTGTATAAAATTAATCTTAGATATCGCAAAAAAAATTAGATTTTTAAATTGTTAGTTTTTATAAAAATTAAAAAATTATATGCCAAAGGCTCTGGTAATTATTACAAGAAACAAAACTTAAAAATATTGAACAGAACAAAACTTATTTCAGATATCAGACTATTGTGTTGCATTTTGTGTATATAAAGTATTTACCTAAGTGGTGAATTGGACCAAATTTATTATAATAATTATTAATTATCAGAATAATTTTTATAATTTTATAAATTAGAATTGATCTATCATTATTAGTATTTATGCTATTTTTATTTTTTCCACTAATGTTTTTCTATTATAGATATTTTGAAATGTACATAATATGTCTTATGTATCATATAGAATATGTTATATATATATGTATATTATATGATAAACTATAACTCTTACACCTATCTTATATATAATCTATTCTGAACTATTTTGATTAAATTTGGTGCGTCCCAGAAGTAATAAAGATTCTGTTTCCTTTTTTTTTGGAAGAGATAAAATTAATATAGCTAAGTTTCCATGTATATTCCAAAGCCTTCCATTTGTTGAACTGTCATTTACTATGCCCTATATTCTTATCCCAGTGTTTTCAAATAACTTTTACTATTAACTGAATAAATAAAATAACTAAACATTTTTATAATTTTGTAGATTATTGTTACTAATAAATAGTTTTTTATTTTTTACTATTTACAGATTCTTTGAATGTGAATATTTCAATTAGCTGAGTGATTGTAACCCAAATTTTGGAATATCATCATCAAACCATGATCATCCTTTTGTTAAACAATTTTTGCACTGGTAAATATAGTATTTTATAAGTTAACTAGATTTCACAATTTCTTACTGGAAATTGGATATTTATTTACTATGTTTTGTCTTTATTTTTTATTTTTTATTATGTTTTGTAAATATTATTTTAGATTAATTTGGTAGTAATAATTTTACTTATTGGTTTATAAAATTTAATAATTTTCTCAATGAAAAACGGTACTCATATTTTTATTATTGTTATTTTTTTTTAATCATTGTCTTATATTAGATTCATGTAGTATTAACAAACTTTTTTTATAAATAAGTCTACTAATATTTTTTTCATTTTTAATGTCATGTCTAACTGAAATACTTAAATAGAATAACATTTTATTATATTTTTGGCCATTTAATTTTGTAATTATAATTATAATTGGTTATAAACTTGTTATTTTAGTAGGTACTGTGATTATATTATAATAATATAATTAATGTCATTTTTCTAAAATAAGTTATTTATTTTTATAAATAAAATTTGAATGTAATATCTACACCTGAATAATTTAATTCATTTAAACCATTTATACAATGTTAAATATCCAACTATTGTTCATAACCATTACCCTCAGGGCAACTACATATTTAAATTCATAAATAAAAATAAATTAATAAACTTTTTTTATGAATAAGTCTCTAAATATTATTTTCATTTTTAATATTATGTCTAACAGAAAGACTTAAATAGAATAACATTTGTTATATTTTTGGCCAATTAATTTTGTTTCCCATAAGTAATTATTATACCTGTTTTTAGATTCTGATTGTAATGAAGAATGTATTGGTTTTGAAATATTAATTTTTTTATACTGTGACAAAAATGTCTACCATACTTCTGTATGTAAGTGTGGCACCATTTTTGAAAGGAAGTTTTGTCTAGATTAGTGGTCTTCAACCTTTTTGGACTCAACCCACCTTTTCTGTCATAAATTATGTATACTCCATGTAAGGCCAATCTAAAGAGCAAAACTGCATTTTTAGAAAAAAAAATATCTAAAATTACTTAAAACTTTGTAGTAGTACTATTTTAACTGAATAAATAAAAACTACATTCTTAATGAAATAAACGAAAAAACTGTTTAACAGATATGTAAATATGACTAGAATAATAACATACATTTATTTACTTTTTTACACAGCAACAACATTGATAATGTTTATAGATAATGGGATTTTTTAATGATAACAATAATATATTACATTTATTTTATTACTAGCTCAGTTTACTCGTAAATTATTATATTCTATGTCATACTACTTAGAATTATACCAGTATATGAAATTTATACTGTGATTTGATATCCATTATTATATTATATTATGGAATATAAATTATATAGTATTGTTGATTATATATAATTTATTACAATAATCTTTAAACTGTATTTTAATTTTTTAATTTTCTAAGTTAAATGATTAAATAATTATTTTTATACCTTATGAAATTGTATGAACATAATTTTTATTTTAAAATGAAATCTTAAATACAAAATTACACAATTCCCTTATATTTAGTTTTAAGTGGCGAAAATTACAACCTTAAAAAGTGGCGCAAATTATTAAAATTAATTTTTAGATGTGGCACAAATTAAACATATTTATATTGTTGCTGGTTGTTTTTGGCGCTAATTACATACGCCTTTCTATCTAGCTTAGATTTAGAGTTACATACCTTCAAAACATATTGAGCCCGCCAGGTCTATAGGTGCGCCCAAAATGATTTTTCACTTTTCCCTATTACTTACCCGACGTGATTTTGCACAACAAATCGAGAGTTATTTTCAATTAAAACAGTCCGAGTGGGCAAGTTACCACTTTGAGTTTCTAGTTCTGCCTATAACGCTCTTTTACTTTATCCTGTTACATACCCGACGGGGTTTTGGACAACAAATCGAAGGTTATTTTCGATTAAAATTATGCGAGTAAGTGCAGCGAAACACGGCGTGTTTGAACGTTTGTAACAATAAATTTAATCCAGATTGACTCATTCTGACCTCAATAAAAAAACTTTGTTATCAAAATATTAATAACTAAAAATCATAATAATAATAAAAACGGTCATATTTCGGATTAATTCCAAAAATGCTATTCTTCAAGGTTTATGTACAATAACTATAAAAGTAAGTGTGATAGGTAAGTTTTGACTATACCAATGGAGCTTTAAAAATTACACATTTTAAAAATGTTTTATTCTCTTTAATAAATACTTGAAATGGAAAACTCGAACTTCATGAAGTTTTCCCCCATAACTTTCAAACGAAATTCGTTAGGCCCCCCCCTGAGCCTCCCTTCTGATCCAGCCCTATACCTACGCGATATATAGACGCACGATAAGTTGACGTCACGATGAATTAACTGCGATAAAGTAATGTCAGTCCTATATTTCAAACTACAGAAGAAGACCATGGTTAGGGTAGAAGTTTCTTTCATACAATAAAGCAGTATAAACAGTTTAAGTCTACATGCGAAGCTATAAAATCCACGATTAACAAATAATAATGATTGTAAAAAATAGAACGTCAAGATGGATAATATATTTTGAAAACCTAAATACTAATACAACATAACCATATGGATATATTATATACGAGGTCTAATCAAAAAGTATCGAGACTGTTAAAAAAATATACATATTTATTAGATACAGTTCTTTACGAAGTGTGGCTATTAAATAACGAGACTAGTTACGAAAACGTGTTTTATTATAAAAAATTATTCTACATTCAAATACTCCCCTTCAATATACTCTCGCCACACACCGTTTCATTCGTTTCCTCCATTGCTCGAGAAAGTACTGGAAGTCTGTTTTCGTAAGACCATTCAGGAGTTCCACTGATTTTTGTTTCACCTCTTCCATCGACTCAAACCGGATTCCTTTTAAGACTTTATCTTCGGAAACAAGTAAAAGTCGCAGGGTGCCAAGTCGGGTGAGTAAGACGCGTGTTCGAGTACTGGAGTGCCTTAAGCGGCCAAATAACGCTTNAGTCATCACGATGCCGTTAATATCGAAGAACACGATCAGCATGGTTTTAAATTTGGATAACGACTGAATTGGATTCCGGTGCACTCTCGACCTTCAGAAAATAATTTATGCCACTCAAAACTACGCGCCCGAGATAGGAAATCCTCACTATAGGCCTCTTTTAACAACTTATAGCACTCAATTGGAGTTTTTTTTAGTTTAACGAGAAAATTTTACGTTTATCCGTTGCTCATGTTTTTCGTCACACATCGTTTTCGGCAAGAGAAAAAAACCTGTTCGTTTCTAAACGCTACAGAAAAAATACTAATGCACCAACAAAAACCCGATTTTATATTGGCATAATAGACACTTCCAGTTAACCAGCACTGTATTTGGTTTTCCTCTAACCTTTTTAGGATGCTCTCTGCGCGCGCAGTCTCGTTATTTAATAACCAAACCTTTTAATAAGTTAAAATAGGCGTTACAGCGTGAAAACAAAAAGACCTTTACCGTCAAAAAATTAAAGCATGCAAGTTGATATTGTTGTGATGACAAGACTATGATAAGATTATCATAATATTGTGATAAGCACGAGACAACACATAGGTTTTTAAATATGTTATGTTAATATATAAGTTTTTAAATATATTATGTTATTATATTAGTTATTAAATATGTTATATAATGTGTCACATCATCTTAAAAGATAATTAAATATAAAACATGGCGCAGTCGGTTGTTGCTTTCAGGAATCTGTAAAAAACTAGATTGAAACAGATAAAAATGGAATTCAACAAACCGGAAAGCTTAAAANGGTCTGTCCTTTTGGAGCATACTCATGATGAACAACACTTTGGTAGTGTCGAAAAATATAGTCAACATAACCTTCACTTGACTCCGAACTTGACGAGTTTTTTTGGGTCGTGGTAAATTAGGAAGATTGTACCTTTGTTTCTGGATTGTAGCCATATATCCAAGTCTCGTTATAATTGATTTTAAAAAAAAATCATCAGATTCGGAACACTCTACCAAATCAGTGGCGATCTGTTTTCGGTTTTCTTTTTGCTCATCTCAGAGCAGTTTTGGAACAAATTTGGCTGCAACCCTTCTCATGCCTAAATCAGTCGTCAATATGGTTTGAACTGATCTAAATGAAATTTGGAACTCGTTACTAATTTCCATGATTGTTAAACGACGGTTACCTTGTATTGCTGTTTGTATTTTTTGGATAATTTCCTCATTGCGGCTTGTTGACGGGCTTCCTTCACGTTCATCACTTTCAACAGCTGAGCTACCCTCTTTAAATCGTTTAAACCATTCAAAAACGCGAGCACGGGACATGGTTTCATCTCCATAAGCTAACAATAATATTTGATAGGTTTAAGTAGCCATTTTTTCCAGTTTATGGCAAAATTGAATGCACACTCGTTCTGTATTTTCGCTCATAATGAAATCCGACAGAACGTAAAAACACACTTTACTTAATCGCACCTAGAAGTCAACTGAGATAACTTTAATCTAATCTATTATCTAATATATTTTCCCAACATATAAAGTTAGATTAATATAGCACGTGCAAGTTCATACTCAAACCGGTTTACGATTAATCTTATCAGTCTCTTTACTTTTTTATTATACCTCGTATGTCATATAGAACCATTATCACTTGCAATCATTATAATTTACTAATCGTGGTTTTTATAGCTTCACATATAAGGTAAAATTGTTTATACTGCTTATTCTGCTTTATTGTACGAAAAACTCTTTATCCTACCCTGGCCGTGGTCTTCTGTAGTTTGAAATACATTGTTGAAAAACTTTCTTTGTTCTTGTTATAATATTCTCTTGCATGTCTAATGCTCAGCAATGAAAAGTTCCTGATTATCTTTTTTCGTTTATTTTTTGACGCTTTCGAATCGCTTTTTTGCACTTGTTGTTATACCATGCCATTTTGACCTCTTCAGGACACCAATACTCTGTTTTGCTGTTTCTGTGATCATTTTTCTGATTACTTCCCAGTATGTCATTTACATCAATTTTTTCGATAACTTTGTCAATGGCCATTTCATACTGTTTTCTTACTTCTGTATCTTTTGGAATTTTGATATTTACCCTGCAGGGTTTCTTCTCAGTTTTGATTTTTTCTGGGCTTTCCCGTTTTTATTTTTCAATTTGCAGTTACTAAGAAATGGTCTATGTTACATTTCCAAAGAGGCTTAATACATTTCAAGTTGCTAACCTTAATTCTGCATTCCGTTTTCGTTTTCCAGTCCTGAGTCCATGATCTCTAGTTCGAGGTTTCGATATTTGGAATATATACATATAAAATTAGGGTGCGGATTATAATGCAAATTTCATTTTTTTCTGAGTGTTCTAAAGTTATGCTTTTCAAACGCAAAATTTGTTTCATATATCAAAGAATCAAAAAAATCAAGAATTATACATGAAATTTTTATTTTGCAGTTTTTGATATTTTAAGTACATTTTTAGGTTTATAAGGCACTTGTCTTATTTTTACAAATTTTATATTGTTATCAGAAAATTTGATAAAGTTTATTTGATTCCCTCCTAAAATAAAAAAAATTCTTATATTTATTTTTAAAGTGTATTAGGTATATATTTACCGATTGTACCAGATAAATACAATAAAAAAAACGATAAGATATTTATCGAGTTGTAATGTAGTCGTATTGCACTATTTGCACTGTTGTGTTTAGTAAATTTATGTATCTAATAAAAACTATTTATTTATACGCTTAAAATATTTTTAGAGCATTTTTCAACCTTTTTTTTTATATAAGTACGCATTAAATTTTGTATTTTTAAGGTATTTTTTTTTTTAGAGCATTTAAATCCGCACCTCAATCATAGCATAAGTTTTTTATTAGGTAAGGTTGTTACCTAACCTTACGCCAAATCCTTAACACAGAGGACCAGACCCCTAGCTAACAAAGGCCAGAAAGTGGCTATTGCAGCAACTTGGGTGCTGGGGGCGTCATTTTCCCTATGCCTAAAAATCGGAGTCGGTAAACTGCGTCTCCAAAAAAAGGTCATAGTCATACACTATGTAAATTGTGGTCCAGTTATATTTTATACAAACGTAAATTACGGCCAGGGTGTACTTTGTATAATATATTATGTGTCTAAAAATTTTTTATTTATACGTAAAATTATGTCTTGTCAAAATTTCCCTTCTCATTTTTCAGACTATGGACTGGCAATATAATTTGCCAAATTGTGAAAATGAAATTTGAATTCGTCAATCATTTTCAACATTGTATCCTTTTGCTTTCATAAAGTTCGTTTTTATTAAATTGAACAAAAAATATACTAACTTACAAATTTTTACTATTTTCTTATTCACAATTGTTTATATTTTTAATTATAAACAAAAATGCAAAACTAACAATTTTAACTATATCAATATTAATATAATTTTATTTCCAGTCCTAAGTCTGAAAAATGGGAAAGTAAATATTGATTTTACCAAAACAGTGTTAGATGTAATTTTTACGTATGAAAACAAAATTTATGTTAAAAATTTTAATATTGAAAAAAGAAAAAAAAGAATACGTTTTCCCATAATATTATTATCGGTGATGTTGGACTATCAAGCAACAACTAACAATATTATTAATAGTATACGTTATTATTGTTGTGACCATGGGGTCAGGATCGGAGACCTCACGCGCGCTCGCCGAGGGTTTGTTGGAGCTGTAAGCACGAAGATGGGCGTTGTCAGATAATCCGGCGACAAACGTCGTCACGAGCAGGGTGGTAGGTTAGGAAACTAACGTAAGAAGAACGGATAGGGGGCGGAAAAAACGAATAAATACGATAATGGAGACGATATCGCGTCTCGTATGGTAATATGTACTTACCGATAGGTATAATAATATACCTATAGTGATTTGTAATAATTCAATCTATATAGTGCGTGTGTTTGTGTTGCTGCTGAAGTGCAGTGTTTTTCCTCGGAAAACAATTTTTTGGTTAGTAAAAGTATGTCGGTTTAATTTTTGTTGATCTATGGGTTACCAAGTAGCTTGCAGGCTATAAGAGAAAAATAACTTCGCACCTCTACATCAGTGGCTTTGGAGGGAAAAGTTGGGACAGATGATGATGTATAAAGTAATTTAATTTATAGGTATCTGTACGCAACAATAAATCATTGCTAATTATAAACTATTCTGAGCAGAGCATCATATTATTTATATTTTTTTCAAAAATCATACAGTCAAAATATAAGTAATCCTTCCTATTTACCACGAAAGCAATAAAGAAAATCAAAAAGACGCCCTAGGATCTAGGATAAAGGGGACGGGTGCAGTCATTGTTACAGGTAATTTAATGTATATCTATTATCAATGGTTAACCATAGCTAACGAAATAACGATTCTGAGTGGAGTTCAGTTGATAGTGTAGTTGCTTTGTCAAATATATATATATATATATATCATACATCAAAAACTCTTGATAGTTAAATTTTATTTTATTTTAATAATTCTGTGTTATTTTTAGACATTATTGCTACTTTAAACATGTAATTACTGTTTTTATTGTTGAATAAATATATTATTATTATTAAATAATTAAATAATTACATATCGATGGCCCCAACGAAAAAAGTCGTACCTCGATTTTTGTCAATATTAAGTTATTACTGCCATCTGGTGGAGGATTTTTTTCTGTATTTCCCATGAAAAAGATCTTATGTCTAGTGTTCCAAAGATATTAAATATTTATTACTTTCATAATTGTCCGAAATATCTATTTCCAACGAAAACCATCGTATGTTTAAATACGACGAATAAAGTCGTATCTATTAGATTTTAATATTATTATTGTTATACTGATAACGTACAATCAGTTTTACAATATCAAGAATTATTATAATAATAGTTAATATTATTAATGTTTTTTTTATTATAATAGTCATAATAATATTTTGTTTCGTTGTTTAAAAAATGTTATTATTATTACTAGGAACTAGATAACCCAGGTACCAGTACTACTACTGAAAAAAAGCGTAGAAGTATTACTCCAAAAGAAAAACTTTCCCGTAAACGTTCAAAGAATACGTCTGAATGGATAGATACAAAGGCAAAACGTTTATTAAACTTGAGTTTAGAACATACCAACAGAATAGGAAAAACCATAAACTCAAAACAAATGGGTAAACCGTGTAAATGTAGAATGAAATGCTCTGAAAAAATTAGTGAGGAAATACATAAAGAATTATTTGGTTACTACTGGAGTTTAGGAGATAAAAACAGGCAGTGGGATTTTATTGCTAGATACATAAAAACATTTGATAAAAAAATATCAACGAAATCGAGTTCACGTAAACAGTTGTCAAAAAAGTATTATTTCCCTATTAAAAATGAAGAAATTCAGGTATGTAAAATTATGTTTTTGAAAACATTTTCTATATCGGAAAAAATAGTGGGTAATGTGAGTAAAAATTAGCCGTTTCTCCCGTGATACCATCTGACCAAAGAGGTTCACATAAAAATTGACCTCACAAAATTTCAAGGGGAAGTAACAGATAGTATTAAACAACACATCTCGATGTTCCCTGTAGTAGATTCTCATTACAGTAGAAAAGATTCGAAAAAACAATACTTAGAATCTGATCTATCGATTGCGAAAATGCATCGGTTTTATTTAGAATGGGCCAAAACACAAAATACTTTCAGTGAAAAAGCTCAGATGGCAACTTTGAAACAATATACAGATATATTTAATGAATATTTCAATCTTAGTTTTTTTAAACCGAAAAAGGATTTATGCGATGTATGTGAACAATTTAAGTTAGCGACTCCAGAAGAAAAAGTGTTGCTGAAGACTTCTAATGAAGTGCATTTAAAAAACAAGTCTATTGCCAAATATAAAAAGAATATTGATAAAACGAGAGCGATTAATGAACACAATAATATACGTCCCCGATGGAAAAGTAAATTTAATTCGTTTTACACACGACTATAAAGATATCTTATGTAAACTTGCGATTTTACGTGATCTTTATCAGTTTACAGTATACATAATATACTTGTATATGTACTATCGACTACTTGATAATGTCCAAAAAAACCTTTGGTGATGGTAGGTGTATTGTATTATCGTGATTATAATACAAGTACGTGCAGTGTCATGTACAGCCCGATGTATAGTATGAAGACTTTAGCAAACCCCCAGAAGTATCGAGGGTGTTGTTTTTTTTTTTCTCTCTCTCTCTCTGTCCCTCTCGAAAACTACGCCTAGTAAGACGGAATATAATAGAATATATAGTACCGTGTGTGTGTGAAAAATAAGATAATGCCGAGTCCCCCAGGGCGGTCTGCTACAGTGACAGAGCAACGGCAGGAAAAACAGACCACCCACGGCCGGACCTCGTGACGTCCCGGAGCCGGACTGGCTCTTGAATCACCAGACAACGTGGAGCGACGGTGGTGGCAGCTCGCGTTAGCGGTAGGGTGGAGGGCTGCTGTCACCGGTTATTCGGACTTGGGTTTTTGTCGGTGTCCCGATAAACGATCACGGGACGTCAAAAATAAATATTTCAAGAAAAAAAAAATTGTATATTAATATTCCGTTTGTTGTTTAATTTTGCTTACACCAACTGCAATAACAAAAACGGCACAAGTTAAAGAAACTAGCCCAGTGCTAGCATGTTTTTTACTCGGTTATAAGATTATTTTTGTGTCCGAAAGACGAAAACCGCAAAAGGATAGATTTTTACTATCCGTAATGATGTCCGTTTTTCAATATTTTAATCTTAAACTTTACTATAGCTAACAAATCAAAAAGTCAATGAATTTAAAATAGTAAATGTTGAGCTTTTTGCCGATTTTTTTATACCATCATTCGAAATAAAATACAAAACCGGTAAAGTTTTCGAAGTGCACTAACGAAGCACATATGATCATCCCGGGTTAGAATCCTAAACTAAAAATGGGGGGTGCGAGGGACATGGACCTTGCATGCGATTTCGGCTGTACCAATTTTTTTGAAATTGTGTATAGTAGATTACGTAAATGGCAGAATTAATAGCTTATATTCCC